TCCTGATTCCGACACCGGATAGAAGTTTGACCACTTGCTCGTTCATGTCCCTCTTTACAGTGTAGGAGGCAATGTTGGGATATGTGGTACCAACTTCAAGATCAGTTACCATTGATAAAATACCTTGTGGATGAGGTCCACAATCTTTAGCTGAAAAAAGACAGATGAAGTAAGCAATAGTTGTGGGGGGAGGGGGGGTTGGGGTAGGGGGAGAGGGGTCAGCCGCCTTCCAAAGATATGTTTTTCGGGCAAAAATCTCATGACTAGGTTAGAAATTCGGGCAACCTCAGATATTTCCCACTTACTGTAGTATAATTTTCACATAATATTAGAATAATTAGAATAATTGGTCCTGTGGAAACTAGGTGTATACTGTCTTTCAGATTAGAAATGTTTTAAAGAGATTGTAAAGAGATTTTCTAAAAACATTTAAGTGTATAATATCACCAAATTGATTTATAATAATTTTCAGTGAAACGTCAGTGGTTCTTACATTTCTACCAAAACTAGCAGATTGTGACTCACAGATTGTGAAATACAAACGAATTTTGCTTTATTTGGGAATGTGGTATCAGGTCCGTTTCCAAAGGTAAAATCACCCATTGGAATTCTTCCACAATCTTTCGCTGAAAACGAAGTAGAATATAAAAATAAGCACTAACTTTTATTTCTTGGCTATTGAAACGTAGAGATTTTTTTCTGAATGACAAGAGTCACTGGCATACTTACCTTTACAGACTAGTACTCCAGTTTCCCATTGTCCTGATGCCAGACACGAGATCTCAGTTTTACCACTTACACGTTCATGACCCTCATCACAAGTGTAGTTGGCAGTGTTGGGAAATGTGCTTCTACCATTACCTTTCCCCGTGGATAAAGTACCTGGCGGAAGATCTCCACAATCTTTCGCTGAAAACAAGGAGATATTTAGACATCAGAAAAACAATTCGTGATACAAGAAGAATGTATATAGCCTTGTTAAACTTGCCTAATCTTATTTTGGGTATATGGTGTCACTTACCTTGCTCCAGTGGCGGTATCTTATCAATGAGACTGAGCTACAAATAGGGGACAGACGTACTTAATGGAGGGACAACAGCTGTCTTCAAGATGCAACAGCTCCGTTGAAGGGCATATTTAAAAATATAGAACTGATTTGGTGTCTTCTGACATATTTTATGTCAAAATGTATACAAACCATATCTCTAAATTTGTTTTAATTAAATGATAATATTCTAGCAAGAATGAGATTGACTATATACTTACCTTGACAAACTAGTATATTAGCAACATCCCACTGGCCTGATGCTAGACATTTAATACTGATATCACCACTTGCTTCTTCATGTCCTTCATTACAAGTATAGTCTGCTTTGTTTGGGTATGTTGTACCACTTGCTGCAGTTCCTGTAGAAAAATTACCTGGTGGAACAGCTCCACAATCTTTAGCTGAAATAGAAGTAGAATATGATAATAAGCCTGGACTTTTTTATACCTGAAATTTAATTGAGAAGAACGAACAATATATAAAATCGATCAAGAGTATCGATGGGAATTGCAATTTTGAGATGACTATACAAATAGCTGATATTGGTCTCTATCAACTGGTAAAGTAAATATTGAGATGAATATACAAATAGCTGATATTGGTCTCTATCAACTGGTAAAGTAAATATTAAGATGACTTTACAAATAGCTGATATTGGGCTCTATTAACTGGTAAAGTAAATATTGAGATGAATATACAAATAGCTGATATTGGTCTCTATCAACTGGTAAAGTAAATATTGAGATGACTGTACATATAGCTGATATTGGGCTCTATTAACTGGTAAAGTAAATATTGAGATGACTGTACAAATAGCTGATATTGGGCTCTATCAACTGGTAAAGTAAATATTGAGATGACTATACAGATAGCTGATATTGGGCTCTATTAACTGGTAAAGTAAATATTGAGATGACTGTACAAATAGCTGATATTGGTCTCCATCAACTGGTAAAGTAAATATTGAGATGACTATACAAATAGTTTAAATTGAATTCTATCAGTAAATAGTACCACATCAATACAAATAGCTGTAATTGAGATCGTTTTTTCTTTCTATAAAATAGCTGATGCAACTGAATCAACTCACGTTCACAAACTGGTTAATATGTAGTCTTGAGAAGTACCAGGAATGTACAATAATCTCTAAAATAATATCTCAAACTAGGAATTTCACTTTCTATTTCTATATTATTATATCTTTCCTATATATGACAGAGTCTCAAGAAATGAAGAATGTATATAGCCTTGTTAAACTTGCCTAATCTTATTTTGGGTATATGGTGTCACTTACCTTGCTCCAGTGGCGGTATCTTATCAATGAGACTGAGCTACAAATAGGGGACAGACGTACTTAATGGAGGGACAACAGCTGTCTTCAAGATGCAACAGCTCTGTTGAAGGGCATATTTAAAAATATAGAACTGATTTGGTGTCTTCTGACATATTTTATGTCAAAATGTATACAAACCATATCTCTAAATTTGTTTTAATTAAATGATAATATTCTAGCAAGAATGAGATTGACTATATACTTACCTTGACAAACTAGTATATTAGCAACATCCCACTGGCCTGATGCTAGACATTTAATACTGATATCACCACTTGCTTCTTCATGTCCTTCATTACAAGTATACTCTGCTTTGTTTGGGTATGTTGTACCACTTGCTGCAGTTCCTGTAGAAAAATTACCTGGTGGAACAGCTCCACAATCTTTAGCTGAAATAGAAGTAGAATATGATAATAAGCCTGGACTTTTTTTATACCTGAGGTTTAATTGAGAAGAACGAACAATACATAAAATCGATCAAGAATATCGATGAGAATTGCAATATTGAGATGACTATACAAATAGCTGATATTGGTCTCTATCAACTGGTTAAGTAAATATTGAGATGAATATACAAATAGCTGATATTGGTCTCTATTAACTGGTAAAGTAAATATTGAGATGACTGTACATATAGCTGATATTGGGCTCCATCAACTGGTAAAGTAAATATTGAGATGACTATACAAATAACTGATATTGGTCTCTATCAACTGGTAAAGTAAATATTGAGATGAATATACAAATAGCTGATATTGGTCTCTATCAACTGGTAAAGTAAATATTGAGATGAATATACAAATAGCTGATATTGGTCTCTATCAACTAGTAAAGTAAATATTGAGATGAATATACAAATAGCTGATACTGGTCTCTATCAACTGGTAAAGTAAATATTGAGATGACTGTACAAATAGCTGATATTGGGCTCTATCAACTGGTAAAGTAAATATTGAGATGACTGTACATATAGCTGACATTGGGCTCTATTAACTGGTAAAGTAAATATTGAGATGACTGTACATATAGCTGTAATTGAGATCGTTTTTTCTATCTATAAAATAGCTGATGCAACTGAATCAACTCACGTTCACAAATTGGTTAATATGTAGTCTTGAGAAGTACTAGGAATGTACAATAATCTCTAAAATAATATCTCAAACTAGGAATTTCACTTTCTATTTCTATATTATTATATCTTTCCTATATATGACAGAGTCTCAAGAAATGAAGAATGTATATAGCCTTGATAAACTTGCCTAATCTTATTTTGGGTATATGGTGTCACTTACCTTGCTCCAGTGGCGGTATCTTATCAATGAGACTGAGCTACAAATAGGGGACAGACGTACTTAATGGAGGGACAACAGCTGTCTTCAAGATGCAACAGCTCCGTTGAAGGGCCTATTTAAAAATATAGAACTGATTTGGTGTCTTCTGACATATTTTGTGTCAAAATGTATACAAACCATATCTCTAAATTTGTTTTAATTAAATGATAATATTCTAGCAAGAATGAGATTGACTATATACTTACCTTGACAAACTAGTATATTAGCAACATCCCACTGGCCTGATGCTAGACATTTAATACTGATATCACCACTTGCTTCTTCATGTCCTTCATTACAAGTATAGTCTGCTTTGTTTGGGTATGTTGTACCACTTGCTGCAGTTCCTGTAGAAAAATTACCTGGTGGAACAGCTCCACAATCTTTAGCTGAAATAGAAGTAGAATATAATAATAAGCCTGGACTTTTATATACCTGAAGATTAATTGCGAAGAACGAACAATATATAAAATCGATCAAGAGTATCGATGGGAATTGCAATATTGAGATGACTATACAAATAGCTGATATTGTTCTCTATTAACTGGTAAAGTAAATTTTGAGATGACTGTACATATAGCTGATATTGGTCTCTATCAACTGGTAAAGTAAATATTGAGATGACTATACAAATAGCTGATATTGGTCTCTATCAACTGGTAAAGTAAATATTGAGATGAATATACAAATAGCTGATATTGGTCTCTATCAACTGGTAAAGTAAATATTGAGATGACTATACAAATAGCGGATATTGAGCTCTATCAACTGGTAAAGTAAATATTGAAATGACTATACAAATAGCTGATATTGGTCTCTATCAACTGGTAAAGTAAATATTGAGATGACTGTACATATAGCTAATATTGGGCTCTATTAACTGGTAAAGTAAATATTGAGATGACTGTACATATAGCTGATATTGGTCTCCATCAACTGGTAAAGTAAATATTGAGATGACTATACATATAGCTGATATTGGGCTCTATTAACTGGTAAAGTAAATATTGAGATGACTGTACATATAGCTGATATTGGTCTCCATCAACTGGTAAAGTAAATATTGAGATGACTGTACATATAGCTGATATTGGGCTCTATTAACTGGTAAAGTAAATATTGAGATGACTGTACATATAGCTGATATTGGTCTCCATCAACTGGTAAAGTAAATATTGAGATGACTATACAAATAGCTGATATTGATCTCTATCAACTGGTAAAGTAAATATTGAGATGACTATATAAATAGCTGATATTGGACTCTATCAACTGGTAAAGTAAATATTGAGATGACTATATAAATAGTTTAAATTGAATTCTATCAGTAAATAGTACGACATCAATACAAATAGCTGTAATTGAGATCGTTTTTCTATCTATAAAA